CCATCCAATACCTGGATTGTAATGGCTGTCATTCTGGATCAGTCTACCTACCATCCAATACCTGGATTGTAATGGCTGTCATTCTGGATCAGTCTACCTACCATCCAATACCTGGATTGTAAGGGCTGTCATTCTGGATTAGCCTACCTACCATCCAATACCTGGATTGTAAGGGCTGTCACTGCAGATTAGCCACTACCATTTGACATCTCAATTGTAAGAGGTTATTACCCCGGATCGGGCACCCACCATCTGAATCCAGGATTTTAAGGGACTGCTGTCACTACCGATCAGCCCGTTTTCCAGGTATAAAGTTGAGACCTTTTTTTTTCTATGTGACTATTTCGATTTTATAACCAGATATATAGATTATACAGGATGGACAAAAAGAAAAAAATCAGCTGGAAAAGGCTCCTTGGTACAAGATATGTGAGGTAACCAACTAGCATTCTGTCTTGAACGTAGTTGATAACAAGCATTCTCTGTAGTAGGTGTAATAATGACATCTTTCAAAGATCATCTATAGAACTCAGCTATAACCTCAGCACCCCAGGAACAGTTCTGAATATGACACTTTATTCATCCTGTACGCGAACGAACGGATGTGGTATAATTTGTACCATATATTTAGTGTTTATTGTTTGTTTTCTGATTACGTATGACTCATATCTGCATGATACAATCGGAACTGAGTAACTGTACTGCAATTATCTCTAAGAACTAGCACTTAATCAAACTGGATCCCATGAAGACTTCTTGATTGGTGTAGGTACTTATTATGACGAGTTGATTTGGTACTATCACTCGTTGTTGCAGATACAGACGCCATTTAGTCCTTCGGTAGGACAGTTGGTGTGGGATGAAAAGTATGAAGAGAAACAAGAAAGCATAACATAGATGTATAAGCAATGGACTTGAGGACCACACAGTTGTAACACCATAAAATATTTATCTAAGAAGACTAGCGGAGCTTAGATGGCAAACAGGTGGTTCTGGTAACACTTACGAATTAACTTCTATTAGACTATATTATATAATCAATTTAGCTGTTGCTGTGTCTAATATCAATGAACGAGTAGTGATTATTGTGCGAAACCGCGTTTCATAGATTTTTAACCCGGTTTTTCTGGCTATGACGGTGACTCAAGTCTTGTAACTTAAGATGATCTCTCATTAGTAGTCGATAAACGCGCCAACAAACCACCTAATGCTGCAAAATGTCTACTTGATGACCTAGTTATCTGTCGTGAATCCGTTAGATATAAGGCAAAGCTGAGTACATTTGAATTAACTAAGGATCTCTGAGAAAAATTCCGGAAAGATGGCGCCAGCAATAATGCACAATGAAAAGAAATAGCACACTAAAAATGGCACCGTTTCTTCTTACTTTTTCATTCGCTCAATGATTTTAATCTATTATTATTATTATTGGTGCAATTTTTATGAGTACCATCGTTATAGGAGAGGTTTTAAAGAATGTCATTTTTTCACACTTTGTATTATTGTTTTGTTTTGTTTGTAGTTTAGCACAAGTATACACAATGAGTTATCTATGCTTTGCCCACCACGGGTATCGAAACCCGGTGTTTAGCGTTATAAGCCCACAGATTTACTGCTGTGCTACTGGGTGCTATATTATTATTATTGGCGTCGTTATGACCTGACACCTTTTTTAAAAAGAAAAACTTGGATTAAGTACAGTTTCCTGCTGTATGGAGCATAAAATGTAACACAGTATTTATTTTAAATTTTTTTCTTTGTTTCTTGGACCGTGGGATAAAGTGATCTTTTTAACAACACTTTTCGTATCGTCATTCGCTTGGATTTGTAAATCACGTTTAATAAAGGCGAAAAAATTGCTTATATCTACTAAGTTTCTAAATCAACACTAATCTCAACTCTTATGGCACAACGTTTCTTGCTCTCTTGTATATTTTCAACAATTTTTTGTCATTCAGCATTTTGTGTATTATCTTTAATTAGTGTAATATTAAACTGTAAAAAAATATCTGTTACAACTGAAATATTCCAATGTAAAGACTACTTAGCTTGCGCCGCGTGCAGTCTAGTTTTAGCCGGCTGGACTGTTTTG